CATCACAGCAAAGAACAGGGAGGCAGTCAAAAGAGTAAGGGACATCCGTACGTCAAATCCACTACTGAGCCCTTAAGTGACGGGCTGCGTTGGGTCACCCAGTGTGCATGTGCAACTAGAGGGGTGGGGAGCCAAAAAAAAGCCCGTGCGCAGCAGGATCTTCTCCGCAACAGCATCTCACCCACCATAATAAACCCATGTAAACCTAGGCTGATAGCAGGGGCTATGAGCGAGGCCTTGCTCTGCAACAGGGCCCCCCCTGCAAAGGATGCTCCTCTCAGAACCCCCTCCCTGACATCTTTAGAAATAGCTGCCGAAGGGCACAGATCCAGCCTCTGACAAAGATCAGCCGCTTGGCGGATTTATGCAGTCTTTTGGCCTGAGGTCCTTGGAGTGGGCTTCTGGCTGCGTTGGCTGCCTGCGTAATTAGAATTCTGTACCAAATACCTTGGAGCACTGTGCAGGGCTCTAGGTGGCCAGGCTTTCAGCTTGGGGGCCTGAACTGTGTCCACTGCCCGCTCTGATACAATCTTCTGTGGCATTGTGCATTTAAAATACTCCGTCCTACAGATGAGCTGGTGCACTGGGGGGGGCCCTGGGGGGGTGGCGTTAGGAAGGGGTATTCTTAATGCTGACAATCACTGGTGCCCATTCTAAAAGGTCCATTCTTTTTGTATTTTGGAGAGATTTGGGTGCAGCAAAATAACATGATTGTCTGAGGATAGGAGAACATTCGGTCCCGGGTGGGATAGCGGTGCAGATTTGAGGGCTTCAGGTTTTTTTTAAAAAAATTGAGACAACAGCTCCTTGGAAAATAATGTTCTTTCTTGTAACAGTCCACATTTGTGGGTCTGGGTGCAGAGTTTGCACTGGCAGGCACGCTGGTGCTGGCCCATGCTTAACACCAGGCAACTCAGAAACCTTTCTTGGGAGCCACACAGAATGCAAAGGATGTCCTGTTTCTTTTCAGATTCTACACACCAAAGTGCCAACCGCGTTTCTCTTACAGGGTGGAATGGGCAGCTCCCCTACACATCGTCCTTCCCTGGTCTTGTAACAGACAAGACACTGAGGGGGGGGGAGCTCACCAGGACTGACTTAAAAGCAAAACCCAAGCTACGAGGTGCCTGGAGGTTAGTAGCGCAAGGCCCTGCCGTGAGTGAAGGCGACCCTTTCCACTAAGCCACGAGCAAGCAGTTAGGAGCGGCTAATCCTGGCTTACGGCTGCCCAGCGACTCTGATAAGGGGAGAGACTTTTCGGAGGCTGCTGTTCTTGCCGGTTATTCCCTTTCGGGCCTTCACGGTGGTTAACTTCCCACGCAGCACCCACTCCCACTTAAAAGAGGACAGTACTCCAGAAAGTGGCCTGCTTTGGTTTTGGGTAATTTTTTTTCCTAATGCATACTGTGAAAGAAAAGAGATAGCAGTTACCAATCTTCGTGCTTCCAGGTAGCTGATTTTTCTCCTGTGCCTGTTGAGTGGCAATGCTGCAGACGGCACGAATACCCTGCCGTGTACCCCTTTCCACTAGTAAACCACCAAAGAGCTCAAAGGAGGGCAGGACCCTATTGTTAGTGGAGGTTAGTTTGGCCAGAGTGCATGAATGCGGTGCTGGGGGGGAGGGGGGGCAGCTGGGAGTGCTCAGTGTGCGGGCACTGACTCAACAACTGAAGGTGCTTCTAGGCGGAAGAGCATTTTTGGCATTGGAGGCCCTGATTCAACATTAAAGAACAGACCAGGGAATAAGCAGCGTTGGTATGGGGGGAATCTGCTCTAAATTCTGGGGCAGAAAACCATGCACATCTTTCTCGTTTCTGTTTTGTTTTGCTCATACTGTTCCACATTTTAGTGCTTAATCGCACAACCCCCATTCTGAGAAGCTGCTGCCCAGACATGTCCCGAAAGGTCTCAGCTCTCATCCTAAGGGACTTCGTCTGCCTGTGTTCCCTAGCAAAAAAGGGACACTGCAGCCTTCTTTCTGGGGCCACACCTCCCTAACACCATGAAAACAGGTGAGCCGCTCCCTGGCAACTTCACTGATCCCACCAGACAAAATCTTGACTATGAGCTCAACAAATGCAGCCCGGTGTTGCTGGGGTCTTCTCAAGAAAGCCACACCAGAGAAGGCCTCTGGGCCAAGACGGGCACCAATTGTGAGGCTAAGCACTGTACTGCACAGGGGCACAGCTGTAGCCGGGACTTCCGCAGCACAGGATTCCTCGGTGCAAAATGCTCGTGAACATTCACTTTCGTTTTAACAAAGTGATTGCTTCCTTATCAAGGAGAGAAACAGACCGGTGACTTCCCCAGAAGGCGGCAAATTTAAGACCATCTAGGTACAGAGTACTACTCTCTGGCATCCAGATTTGAGAGACTGAGTCCCATGCATATTGGAAAGGGAAGTGGTCTGCCATGGAGGCTCGCTACTTGGGTACCCCTGCTACATTAGGGAACAACCCAAACTTAGAGAGGTTTTCGTTCCTTTAGCCACGACACCAAAGCTCTCACTTCAACCGAGCTACAGTCATCGGATGAAGCTACCTTATCCTGCATCAGAGCACTGACCCATCTAGGCCAATGCTATCTAGACAGAGTGGCAGTGCCATGCCAGGGTCTCTGACACACAGAGATCTCTATCCTAACACCTGCAGTCCTTTCAAACAGAGATGTCTGGGACTCAGCGCAGAGCCTTCAGCATGGTCTCTCTTGGCCCGAGTCATATGCATGGCGCTTCTGCGTGCAAAGCGTGCCCTGCCCATTTCAAGGGAAGGAGCAGATTCACTGTGAAGAATGGGGCAGCCCTTGGAAATGGGAGGGACTTTTGATAAAGGGACGGAACAAATCCCAAGGCAGAGATAAAACCACTGAGAACTGCTGGGTGGGTTTCTGGGTGGCAGAGCGTGGAAAGTGGAACTGAGCCAGAGAGAAGAGCCCAGCGCAGTGGCGGAGCACCGGAGGGCTCCCCAACCGACGTCTCCACCCCCAGCCGCTGAGTGCAGCCTTCCTGCTTCCTATGAGCTTGTGCTAGTGTGTCCCATGGCCTGGCCCAGCTCCTCCCTCTAGAACGCTTCACAAACCAACAAGGCCCTTCCGGCATCCCAGCTGTGTCCTTTTGGGCAGCTCGAGCAGGAAAAGGGTACTCCGTTTCCACACTTTGGGTCGCCGCCATTGTGGTTTTATTCCCTCGCACGCGGCTTGATCTTCCTGTCCCTTGAACGCACGGGGCGCAGGTCTTGACTGTCACGTGCACCATCTTTGATGAAGAGGGCTGCGGGGGAGTTGTGTCCCCCCAGTGTGGGGAGGGCCAGGTGGGGCCGCAACCATCTCTGAACATGGCTCACCCCTCCGCCTGCGGCGGCTGCTGCTGCTGTGCACTCTCTTGGGCCAGACTCTCTCTCTCTCTCTCTTTCCTGCAGCAGCCACTCCCACGGGTTAGCAATTGCTGCTGTTTCGGAATTCGCCGTTCTCTGTAATCTGCAATTTAGTTGGGTTTGTGGGGGAGATCCCGTTACGTGTCTGCATGCTGTACCTCTCTTTCAGCTGCGTGAGGGCACTCATTAGCCGGGCATTGGCTGCGTCCAGTGAGGCTATGCGCTTCTCCTGTGGCGAGAAGGGAAAAGGAGATCAGGATAAAAGTGTGACAGGTGAATCTCGCTGGGGAGGGGGAGCACCCTGGTGCCTATGCTCGAGGCCAGGGGTCCCCAAACTTTTTGAGCCTGCGGACACATTCAGAATCCTGGCATGGCACAATGGGCACAACAACACAATGGCTGCTGCGGGAGGCAGAGCCAGCCACAAAGTGATTGCCGCAGCCTAGCTTCAGTCACACAGGGCAGGTCCCGGTGCTGTGGCAGCAGCTGCTGCCAAAGCAACGTTTTAAAAAACTGGCACAGCCAATCAGATCTTCCGTGGTCAACCAAAAGCCTTGGGGGGGGGGCAAAAGCCCCACCCACTTCCTAAAAACAGCTGGCGGGTGCCAGAAACGGTCTCGCAGGGCAGCACGGCTCCCACCAGCACCATGCTGGGGATCCCTCCTCTAGGCTGTTCGGATTTTGGCCTGTTCCTATCACAGGGAACACAAAGACAACGTGATCCAGGACAGGTACTCTTTGGCACTAAATTGCCAATTATCCTGCTTTAATATACCTAACAAGCACTTGAAGGGGTCTGTGGGAGTATGCCGCTGTAGAGTTGATCTTGTACAAAAACAAGTGTGTACATTTAATCATCCGCTTTAGAAAGACTCTCCATCACACACACACACACACTTTTTCTCTCTCTCTCAACAGCTATTTGCCATGATTGGTAAACAGAGCCTAAACATTTAGGGACAGTATAACCTCTGAATAGCAAATTCTGTTTGGTTTTTTTGTTGCTCTTCACAGAGGCACCTGGTTGGCCTGTTCTGGAAACAGGATGCCCCTCTGAGACAATCCAGCAGGGCTCACCTTATGGTCTTGCCTGATCAACTGATAACACAATCAGTCAATAAAATTTTTCTTAGTGGGCTAGCAACTGAAAGCTGCGACAGAGCCGATCCCTCCTTGGTCACGACTGTGACCCCTGTGACTCTGGACCGAGAAGAGTCAATCTCCCTTCTGCTTCCCCGACCGTACTGAGTACAGCTCACTCGTTTGCCTCTGCCCGAAATGGCTTTGCAGCTCTCTGATGAAGATCTCTCAGTGACTTGTCTGATTTTCGATATTGAATAGTGCCCAGAGACTAATTAACGAGCCAGCCAAGCGGTGTCTTTGCACAGGCCAGCAGATTCTCTGATTGCCTGCTAATGACGCTGAGCCACAGGGGAGGGGCAGGCATTTGAAATTAGAAACTCAGCAAATCCCCGGAGCGGCTTGGATCACACTTTTCCCTACCCAGCCTCCTGCAGGGAGAGCTGCCATCACCTCTTGCTTTTCTGACAGCCTGAAATATAGGAAGCTAGTCAGCAAAGGTCGTCCCCACCTTAACACTTTGCCTATTACCTTTCTGTGCTGGAGGCTGCCTGCCACTAAAGGTGCAGCAGCAGGCCCGGGTGGGTGGGGGGAACTGACAGCTCCATTTGTGCAATGGAGACACTTGAGGAAGCAGCAAGAGGGTTGGGGCAACTATCATGCTGCCTGGTGTTGCAGCCCTGACCCCAGCTCTGCGGGGCGAATATATTGGGCGTCAAACCCCAAGGACGCACCTGTGCATCTATGATCTTCTGCTTGGAGTCCACGGCTGCCTGCATTTCTGCGTGGTCTTTCTTCAACTCCTCCTCCACTGACATCAGCCTGTTGCCGGGAACCAAGACTAAGGTTAGGGCTTTGCTGCTTCAGGTTGCTTTCTTGCATGCATACTTTCTAGCTATGTGGCTGGGCGAGAACCTGGCCTAAGGCAAAGGGTGCAAAACGATGCATCACAGAACTGAAACAGGTTGCCAGCAGGGATACCCTGGGCCAGGTGGAGAATTCTTCGAGGATGTAGGTGCAACGCTCCCTCTAAGCTGTAGAGTCCTGTGAGCAGAAATTCTACTCTCTGAGCTACCGGCATTAAAATTGTGAGATGGCGATTTGGCTACTGCATAGATTAGTTTGTGGCGATTTACTACTGCATAGATTAGTTTGCTCTGGAGCCATCCTCCCTGAGTTAAGACAAAAATGTGTGAGCTGGAGGCTAAAAAAACTGTGAGCTAGCTCACACTAACTCAGCTTAGAGGAAACACTGTGGGGGTGACCAATTCGGCACTCCGGTCTGCTGGGATGCACGCCTTCCATCTCAGTTGTGAAACTGGCAGGGAACTGGGCTCATCCCTCAGCCGATGGACCTGCTGGAAGGTCCCCCTTTACTGAAGTCTGACCAAAGGTCTCGAAAAAGGGCCTTGCAGAATCGAAGCCGTGATTCTTGGGTTGGCAGTACAGGGGCAACTGGGAGCGGGTGGGTGGAGGGATCCCCTTACCAACCCAGACTCTGCTCCTACCTGCTGATGATCCCCTTCATCTGGATCTCCTTGTCCTCCTGCTGCCGGCGCAGCCTCTCCTCACTCTCCTCCAGCCTCGCTTGATATTCCATCATCAGCTTCTGGGTGGTCTCCTCCTGGCACTTGAAGCGGGCTTCGTATTCCTCCAGCTTCTTGTTGGAGATGCGCAGCTTGTCTTGCAAGACCACCACGTCCTGCTGATACTGAAGAGACGGGAGAGGCTCAGTGGGCAAGGGTCTTCTCTGCAGCCTTCTTTCCCTGCCTAGCCCCTCGCCTCCCCCCTGAACAGCCTGCTCACAGCCTCTGCCTTTGCATCTCTCTCAAGCCCCTCCAGGAGGAAGGCTGCATGTCTGCCATGAGAAGACCTTTAGCAGAATTGGAGCAACGCTGACCTGGGAGTCTGGGAGAAGGCAAGCTGGACCCAAGAATGGGAAAGGTATTTGAAGGTGCATATATTGTGCATTGATTTTTTTTTAATGCCAAGGGCACAATCTACAGATGTGGGGTTTGATTCTGCAAAGCATTTCTTTCCCTGCCTAGCCCCTCGCCTCCCCCCTGAACAGCCTGCTCACAGCCTCTGCTTCTGCATCTCTCTCAAGCCCCTCCGGGAGGAAGGCTGCATGTCTGCCATGAGGAGAAGACCTTTAGCAGAACTGGAGCAACGCTGACCCGGGAGTCTGGGAGAAGGCAAGCTGGACCCAAGAATGGGAAAGGTATTTGAAGGTGCATATATTGTGCATTGATTTTTTTTTAATGCCAAGGGCACAATCTACAGATGTGGGGTCTGATTCTGCAAAGCATCTGAGGACCTCATGCCAACAGCTGTCTCTTGGCAGCACGAGCAGCGAATGCAGAGCACTGCGATGTTGCGCTTGGCGCTGTGTAAAATGAGACACTACCAGGAAGGAGGGGAAACAGGATGTGGAATGCGTGCGGTGCCTTTTCTCCTGATTTTACACCAGTGAGGAGGCTGGCGCGTCCTACAGTTCAGTTGAGTGGCAAAGAGAGAGAGGGTGCAGGGCCTTGCCAGGGTTATGTCAGTCCCACGGACAACAATCACCTTGGAAGGGCATAGATTTTAAAACCTGTTTTGCAAATACTTTGCAGGTGACAGGGGTGGGGGTGGCTGATCTGATACAAAAAGCATTCAAATGAAAAACACACACACAAACCGATCTACTGTTTTTGAATGTCAACCAATCAAGAGTACACGGCTTTGGGGTTGCCCATTTGGTAAGGAGGCTGGCGTGTCCTACAGTTCAGTTGAGTGGCAAAAAGAGAGAGGGTGCAGGGCCTTGACAGGGTTATGTCAGTCCCATGGACAACAATCACCTTGGAAGGGCAGAGATTTTAAAACCTGTTTTGCAAATGCTTTGCAGGTGACAGGGGTGGGGGTGGCTGATCTGATACAAAAAGCATTCAAATGAAAAACACACATACAAACCGATCTACTGTTTTTGAATGTCAACCAATCAAGAGTACACGGCTTTGGGGTTGCCCATTTGGCAAAAGCCGTAACTAATGAGAATAGAAGACAAAAACAAGTGTAGTTAACGGACTCAACAATTACAACTTGCCAAAAAGCTGAAGAACATGTAATAGAGAATGATGTATACAAAGCAGCTACAATGAAAAAGTACAAAATGTAAACAATGGAGAACTGGCAAGTGCAACAATGTATAAACAACGGAGAACTACTAAATAATTCGATGTTGTGTCTGGATGTTTGATAGCAACATTTCAAAGTTCATCCTTCATCAGGGTGTTCCCTTTAAGCTGCTGTGGTTTTCATACTCATACTGACATGCATTGGGAACAGTCTGAGAACAATTCAATACAAAATTGGACGCCAATAGCTTCAGACTTGCAGTGGGACTGGGATGAGACGCTGCTTAGTCCTGCTGCCAGTCTGAAGCTATTGAAGCTGACTACACGTTGCAGATTGGAGTCCGATTTTGTATTGTTCACAGACTGTTCCCAATGCATGTCAGTATGAGTATGAAAACCACAGCAGCTTAAAGGGAACACCCTGATGAAGGATGAACTTTGAAACGTTGCTATCAAACATCCAGACACAACGTCGAATTATTTAGTAGTTCTCCGTTGTTTATACATTGTTGCACTTGCCAGTTCTCCATTGTTTACATTTTGTACTTTTTCATTGTAGCTGCTTTGTATACATCATTCTCTATTACATGTTATTCAGCTTTTTGGCAATTTGTAACTGTTGAGTCTGTTAACTACACTTGTTTTTGTCTTCTATTATCATTATATAGTAGTGTAGTGAACATTATTAAAAGCCGTAACTAGCCAGGGCAGCCCGACCTGCTAGTCAGTTTCTGGCCCCTGCTATGCAATGTGTCTGCTGCCCTGAGCAGTCGGCAAAATGGCACATTGCAAGGCCAGGAAGGATATTTTAGAACTGATTACAATTTCACATTAGGCAAGAATAGGCAAGTTTGGCCAGGGGTCCTGGAGGGTTTTTTCTTTTGCCATCTTCTGGGCATAGAGTAGGGGTCACTTGGGGGAGGTAGTTGTGAATTTCCTGCATTGTGCAGGGGGTTGGACTAGATAACCCTGGAGGTCTCTTCTAACCCTATGATTCTAAAATGCCCCCCCCCCCCCGGACTATCTGGCCAAAGTGACAACTCATATCTAGGGAAATGAGCTACTTCCCAAGAGTGTTGCATTCCAGGGTGATGAAGGGTGGGTCTACAGCCTAGATTCTGAATGTCTGGGGTCACCATGGATGGGAGAGTAGTCTCCCTGTTCTTCCTTCTGAAGGCATATCTAACGTTGTGGGGAGAAGATCTTCTTTGTTCTGGAAGTCGCCATCCCCAACTCAAGAAACTGTGGAGGGTGGAGCAGTGGAGCAACATCTCAAATGGGGGAGTTGTGGGGAAGAGCAAACTTCTTCTCAGAGTGTCAATGCTGCAGTGAGCTTTGGGGTAACAAAGTACAGGTTTCGAAAAGTGCTTATGTCCTGGTGTGTGTGTGTGTGGGGGTGGCGGAGGTGGGGTGGTGGTGAGACAGCAGAGGTACATAAGTCTGCTGAGCTCATTTTTGGAGGCCTTTCACTGGGCACCTCCACTTCAGGTAGGAGGCGAGTTGACTGGGAGAGGGTTATGAATTTGCACCCTGTTTATTGAACTCCCTCCCAAAGCAGACCCACTTGGTGCCTTCTCTTATCGTCAGGCAAAGCCTCTCCTGTTTGCCAAGGTGTTCATAATACACATTCGGCTGTTCTCCCTTCCATTCCTGGACGGAAGCAGCTTTAGCAACTGTTTTTAGGCTGCCATGAATTCCACACTGAGAGAGGTGTCACAGAAACAGGGACTAAGCAAACGGAGCTTTTGAATGCTGGCGACTGAGCGAACGACAACAGCCTCACATGGGGTGACAGGTGGAAACGCCTGTCTCTGACCCAAAGGGCCACCATGGTTCTAGACATGGGGCGGAATGATCAAATCTGCATCCATGAATTGCGTTTGCTGCATTTCATGAGGATGGAGAGCCTGCCGTTTTCTTCGGCGTGCAAATGGAGAGAAGCATGATGCACCAGCCACACATTAAGGGCAAGTGTGAGGGGTTGAGGATTGTGCCACCAAAGAAAGCAGGTATGGTGGTGGTCACACATGCCTCAGAGTTTATGATGTCCTTTGGTGACAATGGATATAAAACTGAATGCGCACAGAGTGATGCTGGAGGAGGAGCAGGGGGCAGCAGTTAGAAGAGCAGCAATGGCTCTACCTCTCATATTAAGCTGGATGGCAGGTTACTAAAAGAGGAAAAGTCCTGTTTGGCAGCACCGCCTATAATGGGGAATTAATGTTGCAAGTAGACTTCTCCCCAGAAGCAGGTGGTTTTCTATTCTGCTTCTTTCCAGCTGAGAGCCATTTCCCCTCCAGATTCCCCCCCCCTTTTTAGGTTAACTCCTAAGGTGCTTGGAAGGCGCACTGTGAAAATGTAAACAACCAGATTTGTACTTTGCAAACGGGACAATCAATGACCTCCACTGGGATTCCTCCTTGAATGCTCTTGTAACAGGAAGCCCTGGTTTGGCACTGCGTCATGTCCAGAAAAGGCCATCTGAGAGGCAGTGGCTCCTTAAGGTCTGAAGCAGAGAAGGAGTCTTTCCAGACACTTTCTACCTCCAAGATCCTTTAATAGAAGATTTGGCCAAGGACTTTTGGCATGCAAAGAATGTGTTCCGCCACTGAGTCATTGTTCTTCCCTCCCCAAGGAGCACTCTGTGCTGGTCTGGGCCCAATCAATCCAAAGTGCTCCTGTCTAATGCTGCATCCCTGGGACTTGTGTTCTATTCAAAACCATCCCACTTTTTACGGAAAGGCACGTGCGCAGTGCATGTGCTGCTGGCTTCCTGGGACTGAGGTGCAAAGGAGACCGGAGTTGTCTGAAAAGCAGCCGTCTCACACGTGCGCTCTTTCTCTCTTTCGAGACGCGACCATCACGTCCCAGCCGCCGTTACCTTTTCCCCTTGGCTGAGCTCGTCTTTAGTTCGGCCCTTATCCCTGCGCTTGGGCTCGGGGTCGCTGCTCTCGTCTTCCAAGAGCTGCACGTTCATATTCAACAGCCAAGCGGCCGTGCGGTCCAGGGCATTGGGGTTCACAGGAGAAGGGGCCTAAAATGAAACATATAACCATAGCGAAAAGGGGGGGGGGGAGAGGGGAAGGGAAAAAAAAAAGAAAGCGGAAACCAAAATGGACATGAAGCGAAGTACGACTACGAGCCCCAAACACTCGTGTTTTGGCCTAACCCATCCCAGTTTTCAGTACAGGAGGCCCACTTCGCTTTGATACCCCCAGTGGTCTGTTTTCAGAGTGTGAGTTGTACAGACTGAGTACAGAGGAGCCCATCTCTGTGTTTCTGCATCTGTTGTGTGCATGCACCTCCTGTTTTAAAGGAAGCAAGTAAGAATGGCAACTGATTCAGAGATGCAATAGGCAGACTCCACACACAACAGTTAATTCTACTGCAACTTTGCATCGGGAGTAACTGACTAATCCAGTCCACCACAATGCAGAGACAGGATAGGGCTGACTCCCTGCTCTCTCCCCCCAGCAGTGATTTGTTCAGAGATGCAATGGACAACCTCATCCCTGGGTGGGTACTTCAGGCTCATAGGTTTCTTTGTGGCAAGAGCAACAGTCTGAAAATATAGTCATTCACAGAGTTCATGGGATAACAGAAGAAGAGGAGGAGATTGGATTTATACCCCGCCCTTCACTCGGAGTCTCAGAGCGGCTTACAAACCCCTTTCCCTTCCCCCTCCCCACAACAGACACCCTGTGAGGTAGGTGGGGCTGGGAGAGCTCTTTCAAGGACTGCTCTTTCCAAAAAGGAGTAGACAGAACTATGATAGATTGTCATTGTATCCCATGGTGTATGTGCTCCTTTTTGGGGGGTGCTGCTACTGTCTCTGGTCAAACGGTTGTGTCTTTGCAGCCACACAGTCCATTTGACCTGAGACCACAGCGAGATGCAAGTAAGACTCTATCATACCACTGTCAACTTCCCAATGAAGCAAAACCGAGCATCTTCTGTCTCTGGGGCACAAGCTGGGTGTAGGAAGAATCAGCTTACCTAGGGAATGGTTCTGTGTTACCACTATAGCTTGCCTACTGCTGCTTTAAAAAAATCACCATGGAAAAGGACATGCCTGTCAGGGGAGAGGCGAATGGGGGGGGGGGCTCCCCTATACTGGGGAAGAAGGTCAGGCAAGCCTCCATCTTTGGCCCAAACTTGCCACCAGCAGCTGACCCAGGCCGCCAGGCCCTTCTTCCTGTCCTGCCCGTGCTCTGAGACTGTTCTTCAGGATCTACAGTGGCAAGTGATGCCTTCAAAGGCGTAGCAGTTTGCTAATTCCAATGGTACCCAATGGAAGACAAAGTGGTTTGGGGCTGGCCTGAGCCCATGAGATGGCACTGATTCAGCATGGCATGGGATGGTCAAGCTGGCACATGTAAGGGCAAAGCAGCACTTGGATGGAAACAGAGGGACTGGCTGCCGCCATGGAACAGACTTGAGATCAAGCAAGGCTTTCCTGGAGGTCCTCAGGCAGGGATGGAGGCCAAAGCACACAAGGCCACGCAGCCCTTTAGTGGCTCAGTGACAGAAGTTGGCCACTGGATCCCCTTCCTGGTCCAAGGCACTTCCCCCTAACCCCCTCATCCAACTCTGCAGTCCAGTCTGAAGGCCGACTCTGCCTGGCTCCCCGTCACTGACCTGCTTGTGCATGGTGCGCTGCTTCATCTCCGGGCTGTCGCCCTTGGAGGAGGAGGACTGCTGCCGGAGCCGTGCTCCACTGCCTGGCCAATCAGGCGAGGAGGAGTGCATGCCCCCGCTGGACGGCCTCGGGTACTGCATGGTGTTCAGCAAAGAGGGTGGCGTCCGGCCCCGTGTAATGGGGGGTGGTGGAGGAGGAGGAGGCGGTGGCTGGTCTATCCGCCTCTGGGGGCCGCCGCTGTTTTGCCGGGGCATTGTTGGCTGCCCCGCCTTGTCCGTTAGTGAGAGCTGCCGGCGGGCCAATTCCCCTGCTCGCCGGTTGAAGTCCTCGGTGGCAGCTGGGTTGGTGAAGCCATGTTTGTTAGCTGCCAAGTCCTCACTGTTGCTGTGAGAACTGAGTGAACTGTGGCACTCGGACCCAGAGTCCGCCAGGCCCCGGGGCGAGAGCGGCAGCCCCGCCGCCATCTGGTAAACTGGGTTCTGGAAGGAGAGGGGAGCCAAGAGCTGGGGCCTGCCGGGGGCACTCTCGGCATTGGGTGTCGTTGGGGTTTGGCCCACCCTACGTACGGTGGCCATGCCGGCCACGTTGTTCTGCTGAGTTCGTGTGCTCCAGACACCCGGGACCTGCCCGATGGAGGACTGACTGTCATTGAGAGAGTCGGCCGTTCCTGGTATGGTGGCCCCACTGTCCAAAATCCGATTGTCTTGCAAGTCCACCATGGAGAGGCTCTTGCTGCCGTTGGGCATCTGCACATCGGGCTCATTGGCCTCCGAATAGCTGGAGCTCCGGGCAGGCGAGGGCTGTGCCCCCGCAGACCTTGTGACAAAAAACAAGTCCTTGTTTTCAGGGGTTGGAGACGGTAACCGTGTGAAATCTATCAGACTGTGAGGAAATAAAAATGCATAAGGAGAAGAAGGAGGAGGAGGAGGAGGAGGAGGAGGAGGAGGAGGAGAAAAAAAGAGGAGAGCTGTAAATGCTACAAAAGGCAGCAGAACCTGGTCACAGGAAAGCAAGCAAGCAACAAAAAAACAAACAAACAGCATTACTAATGCTCATGCATCAGCATGCGCAAGTCCAAACAATGCATAGGCGGAGGGTGGGAAAGGCGGGAGACTGTTCCCCACCCCAACTGGCCCTCCATCCTCTTCCTAGTCATCCTGCATATTTTCCTACTGCTCTCAGTGGCTGTCTCAGTCTGGAAAGCCATGAGTCCAGCAGATGCTGCGCATGCGCACAAGCACACATGCACATGCAGCATCTTAAGAAAACATGGGGGGGCCAGGAGTGGAGAACTAGGATACTGCACAGCAACTATGCACCTCCCCCAAATAATGATGAGCTTACACCCAAGCATTTCATCCCTACCTTTCAAATATGCCTTTGTGACCCTAGAAACCTGGCTGAGGACTTTTAAGCCCCTACTGATTTCAACAGGAGCGACTGACGCCCATCCTCTGCTCTCCTGCCACAATCAAAGGAACTTACAAGGATTTCCTTTGGGGTCAATCGTTCCCTTGCTTCTTTAAAAAAAATGAAAACTGAGGAGTTTAGTTCTGTGTGCCCAACATCACGAATGGATTTTGATGGACAGTTTTGACTGTGATGGACTCACGCTTTAACGCGAGCTGGGCTGATTTTGATCTTGCGTGTTCTGTTTATTGATTCATTCGTATGTACCAGAATCCCTGTCCTCCATAGGTATCACTTAAAATTTACAAAGCAAGCCTAGAAAATGAGGGCCAAAGCACACGGGAAACTGGGAAACCACGGACCTGATACCAGAGAAATAAGTCAGCTGCAAAGAGCACTGAGAGTCACGGAACGGGACCATTTATTCCCCCCACACACACTCTGGCCCATGCCATGTTCCCCAGCTGGAAACAGCCTCCTCCCCACCGTCTGTTTCATGCTTTGGTCCGGTATGAAGACCAATATCTGCACCGAGTCCATCCAATTTCCCTGTTAGGGCTTAGCAATTCGGGAAGGGGGGCATTTTAAACTCAGAAACAGCACGGTAGTGGTGGTGGGAACAGTGAACTCTCTCTTCCCCACCCCATACAACACCACCCCCCCCCCCCCCGGAATGCTTTTTGTCATGCCATGTTTAACCCTGAAGCATCAGTCCCATATGCAAGTCTACAGTTGAACTTAAGAAGTGCCTTACAGGGTCAGAACAAGTCTCCCTTCCTTACGCACAGATCCCAGCCGTCCCGAGGGAGTCCATGGAAACTGGCCGAAGAGCCCACTGGCCAACCACAGTCTACCTTCTGCCCGCTCTGCCCAGCCAGAGCCCCTCGAATGGGCTGGGCCTCAACTCGGCCTGCATGTTTCCTGCCACTGTCGGCTGTGCTGCTGCCGACGGCCAAGTTGGGTGAGCAATTGATTTCCAGCGGATGAAGAAAGGGCTTTGCAACAGATAACGCTCTTAGCCCCCAGATCAAAGCCGGCTCGTGTTTTTTACAAGGCAGGGTTTGGGGCTGGAGTTTTGTTCACAGAAAATTACCCCTTTGTGCATAATGTAAACTGTCACACCCCCTGCTGGGAAGGGTGAACTCCTCTGACTACAGAGTGGGTATCCCCTCCCGTCTCTCTCATTTCTAATGAACGAGTTACATAACACAGGCTCCAGTTTACAATCTCTTTTGCTTGGGAGAGCCTTTAGACTTGCGTGGGCTGCAATTGGTGTTGCATTTTAAAATCTATCAGACAGGTGCAGAAACAGCACAGGGCCCCTGCACGCAGACTCATGGCCATGGCTGGGTATAACTCCTGGAGGGAACAGTCCCACTGGGTGGCCCCGTTCCATTACCCAGGGAGGAGGGGCTTCCTCAGCCCAGCTCCTCTGCGAGAGCGGCCCTGTCCAGCAGAGTTAGTTTCCAATCACCCCTTTCTGCTCATTCTTACCCAGATAAATCATTCTCGATCACCATCTTCTGCAGCCCCACAGAGATGCTGTTGCCGGCATTTGGCGTTGACACGGCCCGATCGGCACTGACTGAGACTTGCACGCAGGAGGGGTTGCTGAGCGCTGCGTTGACGTCCCTAAGAATGCGTGGCAGTGGTCCAAGTTTGGTTGCTGTGTTCTGGATGGGAAAGCAGGCAGGAGAGATGAGAGGTTGCCAAGGTTGCTGCAAGCCAGACCCAGGGCCGGAATTGCTCTGAGCTGCTTTATCAAATGTTTCCCTAACAAGAAGCATTGCCCACTGAATGCTAGAAGTGGTTGTCCTGAGCGCAGCTAGTCACTCCCTATCCCAAAATCCATGCCTCTGAAAGTGATACCAAGTGGAACAATAATCAGGGTTTACATCCTTCCTGTTCGCACTTCCTGCCAAAGAGGGGCAGATTGGATTTTTCCCCCCCTTCTTCTTTTTTCTTTTGCATTTGTGTGTGTGCGTGTGCACCTAGAAGACATGGCAGCCTCTGGCAACTCCTACTGGGACATGGAGGACTATTCAGAGAAGTGGCTGATATAGCCTGCCTCTGGCCTCCCGGCCCTGGTATTCTCTGGAGGTCTCCCATCCAAATACTTGCCAGGGTCAGCCCTGCTTAGCTTCCGAGATCCAACGAGACCAGGCTTGCCTGGGCTATCTAGGTCAGGGCTGAATTATTTTATTTCGATCCTTTATATTGATTTTAAAAAGCTGTGGAACGTATATTAAGCGAACTTACTGTTCCCAAATATTTGCGTATGCTATTGCGCATTCTGTCACAGAGGTGCATGTGCAGTGTGTTGTACAGAAACTTGACAATGGGGTTCATGGGGGACAGGAGAAAAAAGATGTGGAACACTGGTGCTATGGAGGGGGAAAGACAAAAGCCTTTGGAGCGGGTCTGCCATGGCCAATGGGCTCCCAGGACTATAAGGAGGAAGTCAGTCTGCACACAACTCAGACTATGGGAATTCACAGTCATGTGATACAGGGATGGCCACTAGCTTAGATCCATCCTCCAAGAATCTGTCTAATTACTATACCTAACAGTAAACTGGCTGCTCCTGGGGTGGACAACAAGACAACACAGGGATCTCAACACACTCAGGGGACTTCCTAGATATGAAGCATAAGATAACTTTGTAAATAAACCAAAAGGGGGGAAAATCCTTTAAAACCCTGCCTGATGAGGACTGGGCATGCTCCATGAGGGGCTGAACTCTGAGACTAGATGGGTGTTGGGACCAATCTAGCAAATCAGTCCTAAGGTTCTTATGTTCTGAAGGTCAGTCCTATCTCCTTTATGGTTACCTGATCCAGCTGTGAAATAACCTCCCAGAGCAGAGAATGCAAGGTGGACAGCTCCCGGCCCAGGTCAATATACCCTTCAAAGCCCGCCGTGTTGGAAATAGTCTCAGGATTGGAGATCTCCAACAGAAACCGCTGCATGTTCGTCCATTCGTGTTCCAAGAACTGATTCATGAACGACATGTATTCTTCTTTGCTGCCGAACCTGTGATGACAAACAGGAGGAGGAGTCTGGGACACAATCTGAAAAATGGCAATGTGTCACTGGACGGCTGCCAATGCCAGAGACAGGAGCAGAACAAATCAGCCACGGCCCTGACATGTGCCGGCCAGCCTGCTCTTCACTCCCAGAAAAGTCAAGATATTCCAGAAGCCTTCGATGACTTCCACAAAAAAGAGTAATTAAGATGTTCCCTCAGCTGTAGCCCCCATTTCTGCACGTTCAAGGCCAAGTGTCAGAAAACTGTGCCAAAGGATCTTGAATGACAAAAGTAGGGGGGGGGGACCCTCTACCGCAATACTTGTTTTAGTCTGTAAGGTGCCATCATACTCTTCCAGCGACAGCAGAGGAATATGGCAACCCTGCCAGAAAAATCAATCGGTGGGCAATTTTGTCCAATGTGCACATCCTTACTCTTGCGTACAAAAAGGATTTGTTTGGAAAATGTTTTGAGGAAGGACAGCTGGTACTTGGAAGCTGCTGGGGTCAGTCATGTGGAGACATGAACCTATGACGTTGCCTTAGACTACTAGGCCATTCAAAGTAAGTAGCGTGTCCTCTGCCTGAGACCCTGTAGGGCTACTGCCAGTCAGAAGAAGGGCTTTCCCACCACCTGCTCAGATCCTTACTAGCAGAGATGCTGGGAATTGTCCCTGTGGCCATGCGCTCCTTCTGTACATGAACAGCCAACTCTGACCATCAGCAGCTATCCGTGGTCTCTGATTTCCCAAAACGTCTTGACCTGTCTCCTGAGATCCTTTTAACTCGAGATGTCAGGGGCTGTGGCCTTCTGCACACCAAGCAAGGGCTTTGCTGCTCCCTGAAGTTGAAGCCCGTGTTGGCTCGGCCTGGGCGAGGTGGCATTTAAATCCATGGCTCCCTGAACAGAAGTGCCACACCTGAACCAGAAGCAAGGCCATGCACTGACCAAGCACCCTGGGTCTGTAGAAGTCTCCACTGGGTACGCTCGCTATGCAACAGGATAGATTGGCTGGGAGAAAAAAAAACACTTTACGTGGAGCTCCAGGGACGGGAGGCTCTCTGTGCAGTTGTGGGGAAAGTACAAGGAAGCATGCATAAGCTGGGGTTTGGGAAGCTGTGTGGAAGGCAGCAGCCAGAAAAGGAGGGCAAGTGAAGGCAAGGCAACTGAGGGCTATTAAAGGTGAACCAAAGGAGGGTTATGGAAGGGAGGCCAAGGAGAAAATGGAAGGTTCGGGAAAACCTGACACACACCTGGAGCTGTGTAGGAAGACAGGGAGGCTGTGGGTGCAGACACAGGGTGGCAAGAGCAGCTGGGAGTATGGGAAGGGGCATAAATTTCACCTGAAACTTCTTATTAAGAACTATTGTAAATCTGCCAGAAGATAAGACTGGGTATCACCCGAGTCAGGGGCACTGTCAGTACTCCCCATTGCAAACACTCCCAGGCTAGGTGCAGATAATCTGAACACCTTTTCAGAGGGAGGGGCTGGCCAGAAACACATAAAGGGTAGATCCTGTCAACAAACGCAACATGGCCATACATGTCCAGCCTGCTGCAAATGGCGGCAGCATCTGCCTTAGGATGATTTCGCCTGAAAAGCATCCCCCTGCATAGTGGAGAGACTGGCGGAGGAAGTTTTGCCTCCCCCCCTCCCCATCACAGCACCGGATAAGCAGCTGTCAGCTACTGAGCAAAGCCAGTGGAGAGATTTCTCAGAAATCTTTCTTCTTTTGTTTTCGCCGACTCTCTAGGCTTAGTTTAGAAGTTGACAGCGTTGCTGTTTCCTGAACTGATCCTCTCCCATTTCAGTGGCTTTTAAAAAATGCATCGCCACGAGAAGCTGAGATTGGGCAGTGAGGGCTTGAGCCAATGTGGGGGCACGAAATGCACCCCTCTCCCCATCTAACCATCACTGCAGGCATTAACAGAAAGGAGGCTGGTAGGTGGTAGGAATATTAAATGTAGTGGTGTCAGTCATGCCCCTTTCCAGTTGCCTGTGAAACACTCTGCCCCAACAAGCTCTTCTCTGCCTACCCACGACCTTCTGGAAGCTTATGAAAATATAGTTACTCTGGAGGGCATTCGGGTTTTCATTTCCTTCAGGTCTTTTAATCTGCAGATTCTGTTGCCAATAGCTCCAACCCCGGACAGACAGCCACTTTTGATCTTGATAGTTTTGAATGCTTTGTGGCTGTTTTTACGATTACTCTTATTCTGCTGCTGCTTTGGGTTTCTTTTCAAATCAAGTTTTGCACTCTTACACTGTATTCATGATTTTTTTTAGGCGGCAAGTTGTCCCGCGCACCATTCGTATGGCAGAAAAAGGAGAGGTATTAATCTTCTAACCACAGTGATGGTCATTTTGTTAGCTGCCAAGGGAGAGCCAGTTATAAATCTAACCAATAAGTAATAAATCAATCACTGGTCAATTTCCACCATGGCTAAATAGGCATCCATCAAAAAGAGCCTGCTCATTGATTTCCTTTCCCCAAAACATGGCTGGAAGTTGTACATCTCTCCCCGGAAAAAGCCTGGGGCAACGCATTCACTTTCGTCCCATTAATTTTGCCCCTGCTGGTCAGGCTATTAAAAAACAGACCATAGCTTATAGGAATCACATGGTGTTACCCCCTGGCACTTCTGGTTCAAAAGGGCCTCAGTTTAGCAGGGCAAGTTAAGTTCCTTAGCTTGATTTAAGCATGATGCTAGCAAGCAAAAGCTCTTTCCTGTAGACCTTTTCCCTTGCATGGCCTTCTGTCCTGTCCTGCATGGGTAGCAGTCCAATTTAAAGGACATGCTGTGAGAGTGTGAGGTCCCAACAATCAGTTCTTCACAGCCTCACTAGCATCACATTTAAACCAAACTTTTATGAGTCCATTGGAGCAGACTGGAAAGTATTAGATAGACCACTGGTTTGACTCTGGATATGGGGACTCTGCATAATTGTGAGTGGTTGAATAGTACTGGGAGAACAATCTGAGATGTCTTTTTTAAAAGAAGCACGCTTCCAGGTCATACACCCTTCATGAAAGATTTCCCATGCCCTGACATCTCAGAAGCCGAAGCAGTGGCTGAGTAAAGTTTCAGGTAGTTACGACACAAATGTGATCCAGATTTCCTAGGAACTGGGAAGTGGTGCTTCAGCACCCCGTGGAGCCTTTTTGCTCCATCCCCAAACTAACAAATCAGGCCTAATTATGGAGGATATGGTTTCAATCAGACTGATTTGCATAATGAGCACAGGTTGCATTACTTGCTCCTTTAAATACAAACAAACTCAGAGTGCGTGCTGAATTGCAAACACCGAGAAACGACGGACTGGCAAAGGGAGAGGTGAGAGGAGTTACTTGGCGAAGTTGGCCAGGTTCTGCGTGACCTTGGCAATGAGGGTCAAAGTGCGGGCCGTGCGATCGTCAGGATATTCCTGCAGCAGGTTGAAGAGAGACGGGGACATGATGGCCGGGCAGAGGAAGCGGAGGAACAAGGAGGCGCTGATTAGCCTCTCGCTGATGTCGGGGCGGCCACGGCTGCTGCACTCCTGCCGCCAGGAGGCAAAGACTTCCTTCAGCTCTCGCGGGAACACGCTGCAAATACAAGGAGGGGGGGTTAAGACAGGTGAGGGGTGCTCCCTGTCCAACGGGCCACCTGGGAGAAGGAGCGACTGCAGTGGGAAGGAAGCCCAGTCCCCTGGCACAAATAGGACAACCCCCCAACCGTCTCTGCTTTGGAATTAGGAATAGTGCTTTTGGCAGGGTAGACATTTTTCCAAAAGGCTCCCACTTAGTTTAAAAGATTAACTGTCTGGGCAGGTGGGAAGAGATCTCTCAATACAATGAAGCCAGAGAAGGGCTTAGTTTTAGAGCCCAAGACGGATTTCACTCAGCCGGCCATTTCTGCATAGGGAGCCCGATCTGTTAGCCCAGCTTCCTAGCAACCAGTTTCCTGGTGCTGGGTGGGGGGGGGGAGATCTGCTGACACCCCAGATCCTCCAGATGTCCAAATAATGCAGCAAATCAGGACAATTTCCGCTCATTGTAAAAATTGCCATCCAGCGAACAGCTCGACAGGCACTGCTGCTCCAGCTATTCATCACATTCTTTTATTCTGCGCTTCCTCCACACAGCTCTGGGGTCAACCTATGTGGGTACCCCCTCTCTCTCTCATTTTATCTTCACAACAACCCTGTAAGGCAGGTAAGGCTGGGACTGCATGACTCTGCTCCAAGGTTGCCTACTGAGACTCACAGCTGGGGGCAAGATTTGAACCTGGGGCTCCTGGTCCTGACCTGACAGTTTAACCATGTTGCCATGTAGGTCTTGGCGAGTGAACCAGCAAGCAGGTTCCCACAGCCAAGTTGCCACTCCAAACTCTCTCTCTGATCTGATATGAGAAAGCTCGCCTCAGCTGCAAATTCTTGGCAAGCAACTTCTCCTCAACTTCACCCCCCCAAAAAAAAACCCCCTGTGATATGGGTAGAAAACTGACCAGCCTTGCAGGGTTGTTGTACAGACACGGTAACAAATGCTGCAAGGACATTCAGGAATAGGATGGTATTTATATTATACAAGGGGGGGGGACCCGCGATACTCGCAGGAGAGGGGGACCGCCACACCTATGAGGAAGAGGAGGAAGCAGGAGGAGGAGGTAAGTCCCCCCCCTATCCCGCCGGTTCCCCATCTCCTCCACCCCCCTTCCACCCCCTGGCTCGATTTTCCCTTCCCCCTGCCCTGGAGCGCGCCCCCCCTCCAGAGGCTAGGTCTACCCACCCCTTCCCACTGCATTGGTAGACCTGGCCTCCGGAGTCCAGGTCTACTCACCCCTTCACACTACATTGGTAGACTTGGGCTCCGGAGTCCAGGTCTACCCACCCCTTCACACTACATTGGTAGACCTGGCCTCCGGAGTCCAGGTCTACCCACCCCTTCGCTCCCCGCTTCCCTCCCAAGCGGCGGAGGCTTTTTCTCCTCCCCTCCCCCCCGGCCCCGAGCCGAGGGCCCCCCCTCCCGGCTCGCCGCTTCCCTTCCAAGCGGCGGCGGCGGCAGCCTCGGCGGCTGGCACTTTCGGGGGGATCTAAACATCCCCCCGATTTTTTTTTCAGGATTTAGGATTTTTGTGGGGACTGCCCCACATGTGCACAAACCTCTCCCTCCCCCCCAAGTGCCCCCGATGTCCGGATTTAAGGATCCGCACAGAGGGGGACAGTTCACTATTAGATATATAGATTATTTATCTATAAACATTATTAAATGACTAGGTAATCAGCTTCCTGCCTCCCCAAGTGAGAAGTACAGCCCGGCAGCTGTTTTTTTCCTGCAGTTTCTTCTCTAGGCTATGCTGAGCCCTACCTTGTGGCAGCATGACAATATTGGGGGGGGGGAAGAACACACACACACACACACACACATGCAAGACAGCTGGCTCCCACTCGGCAGGATGTCACCAAGGATTTGCCCACTCCTCTTGTCACAGGGTGAAGGAGAAGAAAGTATCTTCCTGCCCTGGATGGGGGCCACACAGCAGTGCAGGTAAAAATCTCTGGAGGAGGCCCCGCTGTCCCTGGCTTTCCTAACCAGGGAAGTTGCCAACTCTCCACCATCCTCTGTTGCCAGTTTGGTGTAGCCAGTTTGGTGTCGTGGTTAAGTATGCAGACTCTAATCTGGGAGCACCGGGTTTGATTCCCCACTCCTCCACTTGCACCTGGCTGGATGACCTTGGGCAAGCTGTAGTTCTGATAAGAGCTGTCCTTGAAAAAAGAGCAGTTTCTGTCTGAGCTCTCTCAGCCCCACCTACCTCACAGGGTGTCTGTTGTGGGGAGGGGAAGGGAAAGGAGTTTGTAAGCCGCTCTGAGACACCTTTGGATAGCAAAGGGCGGGGTATAAATCCAATCTCTTCTTCTTCTCTTCTATGCCTACAACTACAGGATGATCTGCAGCTATCAGCAGATTATGTATTAACAGCCATACCGGCAAAAAAAGCCCTATTTACAAATCTGTGCACATAAAACGGCAGCAAAACAAGGCTCAAGAGCAGACCAGGCCATTCATTTCTGTCCGGCTGGCAACCCTACCTGCAGCCCCACCACTCCCCCTCGGACCACACCCACTTAGCATCATCTCTTCTCCCCTTTGGCCATGTTCCTTCTTTAAAGAAACGGATATAACATAGTCTTTGAGCATGGGCAGAGCGCCTTTGCTTCAACAATGTGAAACAGCAGCTTAAACTTAAACGGAGGCGCAAGGGCTACCTTCCAGGGTATAAGGGAGTTGGATATTTCTGCTGAGAGTTCAAGCCCTGCCCATACTCAGATGGCAACTTTTTTAACAGTTTAACCAAAAAAAATCCAGAATCATCAGATGCAAAGGGAGAAAAATCCTTCTGCTGTTATTATCATTATTATTATTTTTAAACTAGGTCATGGAGACACACAGAAGGCTCAAGACGATGTCGCATACTGACCAGTATGAGTTGATGATTTTGCAAAATGCCAGTTCGCAGCACATCTTCAGATTGCTTTGATGCTCCAGGAGATCTGAGGATGAGCATTTGCTAGGATCTACCTCACAATTCTCATCTGATTCATAGAGAGCCTTGATAAACTCGCCTGAAACATCAGAGGGTCAGAAAAACAAAAGACGCAGAAAGACCAGTTTTAGAAGGCTGAACGGTATGCATCATATTGCGGCTCTATTCAGTGCATTGGCTGTGGATCTGTTTCTGGACCACAACCAGGGAGCAGCTTTAGACTTTCCATATCGAACTAGATTTAGGATTACCTGAGCCCCACTGAGGCGCAGACAGGCCTCAAGCAGCTGCTGTTCGAAAGAAGATTCCCCCATGTAAAGAGGCAGTGTATTTCTGAATACCAAATGCTAGGGACCCAATGCTGGCTGAGATGAAACTCTGGCCTGATTCTGCACAGCAGTGCTTACGGCAGCAGAAGACCCCTGCAAGGAGTTAACTCCCCAGCACCTACCTAAGGCATCTTGCAAGTACTTCTGCCCCACCAGCTTGAGGTATTCCTCGATCGCCTTTGTGGCAAGGGTGTTCTCTCTGAAAATAAGGTGCTCATTTTCACCACAGCGGTCCACCTCAGACATCATGAGGTCCGTCAAGAAATCCTGAAGGGGGGGGAAGAAGAGGAGAGAGGGCAGTCAAGAACAGAATCTGTGGAAGAGTCCAGGCAGTTGATATAAAGTTGGCATTTAGCCAGTCAAACTTTTTTTTAAAAAAGACAAAACTCCCTTGGAGCGCTACTGAAATATTGCCAAAAGATAGTCAAATATTTGAAGCGTTAAATTACTAGGGCAAAAGTAATTATGTTAGTCACAGAAATGAATGCCTTCTAGAAGGCTCCAATACCTACTGGAAGCTCTGGAGAAGACAGCTGGGCTAGGATCACATCACAGACCTTTCTGCTCCCATAGTTAATGACATCAACACTTAGGACACGCAAAAGGATTTCTCACAGCACATAATTAACTTGCAGAACTCAGTGCCACCAGATGTATCAGTGAATTGAGAACTGGTCCCATCAATGACTATAAGTCACAACGGCTAAATGGAATGTTGGTTGCTAGGCATGTAAACAGATACAAGATGAGGGTGGACATTGGTGCAATGGCTGGTTTTGTTGTTGTTGTTCAGTCGCACAGTCGAGTCCGACTCTTCGCGACCCCATGGACCAGATCACGCCAGGCCTTCCTGTCTTCCGCTGTCCTCTGAAGTTGGCTCAATTTCATGTTCGTTGCATCTATGACACTGTCTAACCAAAGGCACAAAAGCCACTGTGGAAAGCAACTGAGTCACCCCTTATAAAGTCTTTAAGAAAAAGGTGTGGAGGGGTGTTCTCTCCTTTAGGCGCCTTCTAAAATCTCTCTTTCTCTGGAGGCCAGTTCACACATTGCAAAGTCCACATGGTAGGCATGTGGTTGTCACAAGGACTTGGGACCAGCGGAGCACCTGGAGTTCTGTGCAGAGAACTCAATCCATAGATGTGTGCCCCTCCCCCTGCCCTGTTCCCCTGACCCAAAACAACCACAGGGGGCCCATGCTTCGTCTTGCGCATATTTCTCCAGTGGAGCAGACAGTGGGAGCCTTGTCTGTGTCAGAGAGGAGAAAAGCTTAAGCTCTTTCCCCTGTATGCTGTGCTACCAATCCAAGTCAGACCCCTGCATGTGCCTGGGAACTGAGTTCCCAGTGTGGCATTCCAGGCTCATGTCTGTGGACAAGTCCGTGCATCCGTCACGTGAATTTTGCAACGTGTAAACTGGCTCTTCCGCCTCCAGTATGGTTTAAGAAAGTAGAAAGGAAGAAATATAGCATTACAATTTCTGGGTTGATGTTTTGCTAGAAGGCAGTCAGTCCATTTGATGAGCTAGAAACATTTGCACTCTCTCCCTGTTGCGTGCACACACTCTTGTTCTGGGCCATGCCTGTCGAAGAGCTCAGTCACTTGAACAACTTTTCTTCCTCCTTGTTTCTCCGTCAGTCACGCATCCCTTGGAGGCAGGCACTGGACCATGAGGACTACAGCGGCATCCGCCACAACCCTCCGACCGCCAGGAACCTGACTAGTTCTCAGAGGAGCGTCAGCAACAAGCAGCTTTTCAGCCTCTTGCACACATGGCATCAATCCAGAGGAGCGGCAGCCACCGCCACAGGCCCTGGGTCGCTCTGCCCTCCAAGCCAGCCATGTTCTCACTCCTGGCAGAAAACCCTCTATCTGACAAGACCAGCCAAGCCCTGGGTTCGAGCAGAAGCCATAAAACTCAATGTTCCCAAGATAATTAGTATGTTGGGGAAGTGACAGGAGAGACTTGCAGGCAGAGCCAAGGTCGGGCACTGCTAATTAAGAATCAGCGCCTCGTGTCAGCCCGAGCTGCTGATCGGAATTGAAACCTCCACGTGGGGAGGGGGTGAAGAGGCCTGGGCAGAGGAGGAGGTGGCAGCAGTGGGGGCTGCAGAGATGGCAGCGAAAGGAGGCCGGCAGGAAGGGCTGAAAGATGCAGTTTGCCCGATCAGGATGCAAGGAGGGAAACAAAGACCTGCTTTCCCTAGGAGGGATCTCAGCCCACCTGAATGGCAAGAGAACTGAGTTGGGAAGGGGTACTGTTCTTGCATTAAAAAAGATCAGTGCTCCTCACAAAGAAGAAGGGTGCATCTCCACGCTAAGCAAATGTGCCCCTGTTGCTCGCTGGCTCCTTCCTTCAACCTCCAGGCTACCCCCTTAAGCTTTCCCATCTCCTAGGATCCCTTTCCAGTCCTCAGCTATGAAACCACTGCCATTGCAAAGGCCTGTACTAGGTTTTCATCCCAGTGAAACTGACTGCTGTGTTTCCCCTTGCAGAAGCTGGAAGGCCGACAGCTCTTTTGCTTGAGAAGCTGGAACATTTGCAGACATTCCCTGCCCTCGTGGCTCCAGCTCAGCCCATCAGTGGCAAAGCTTTCACTCCAAAGGACCAAGGCAGGGAAAACATGATTTCATTGGTCCTAAATGCTGCAGTTCCAAGTTAACTGGGGGACAAATACTATTAGGTCACAGAGGACAACAGTAGGACATAATACCAAGCACCAATAAGGAGAGTCGCTTCCTGCGGAAGTTCAGGAAACTGAACTTAGACAGCTTTTAGGGCAGTGGGACTTCTCTGGAAGAGCTCCCTCTACTATTGGCCCAAATGTCCTTTTCCCCCTCTAAGGTCAAGTTCTTGTGGAGGGGCAAGTCTACAACTCTGACACACAAAACAAGCAATTATGCATGGTACTGATTGACAGTACCAGTCACAGTTACTGGCGAAACATCAGGTTCTACAATGCCAAGACCATGGCCACACATCCTGGAAAATCTACAGCAACTAAAGTACTGATTGACAGTTACCCCTTCACTGTGAAACCCTCCCTGATCAAATTTCTAGGAAGATGATATACTTTAAAAAAAACCCTACAAAAATAAATACAGTGGGCCCCGACCTGGATAGCCCAGGCAAGCCCGATCTTGTCAGATCTTGGAAGCGAAGCAGGACCGACCCTTGCCTGTACTTGGATGGGAGACCTCCTTGGAATACCAGCAATTGGGAGGTGGGGGCAGGCTTTATTCAGCCACCTCTCTGAATATCCTCCAGGCCCCCAAGTAGGGGTCAGTCAACAGAGGTTGCCATGACTTCCAGGGGCATGCACACGCATGCATGCACACACACACCAATATTCCCTCTAAGCTATGGAGTCCTGTAAGCAAAAATTCTACTTTGTGAGCTAGTGGCATTAAAGTTGTGAGCAAGTGATTTGGCTACTGCATAAATTAGTTTGCTCTGGAGCCATCCTTCCTGAATTAAGACAAAAATGCATAGCCAACGGCTAAAAAACTGTGAGCTAGCTCACACTAACTCAGCTTAGAGGAAACACTGACACACACACAGAGACATGAAAAATACAAAAAAAGAGGAAATAAATAAATACAGTACAAGTGTCATTTGTATTATTACTGGACAGCCTTCCTGAAGGAAGCGGGAAGGCTGGGACAGCTGAGCCTCCATTTGATTCACTGGTATGCACATCTGTCATTTCAGTTGTGAAACCAGAAGGCAGACCAGCACCCTCCCCTTGAACTCCCAGCGAGCTCTCTATTTCTAACCCGTCTGGCTTCACTCCTCACAGCTGACCGATGTGCAAATGCAGTAATCTCCCCACCCCCACCACAATAATGGGGTTTTATTTTAAAGCAAGCCCCATCACAGTTCCCAAGGTGAGCAGCAGCAGCGGCAGATGGCCACAGAGCTCTTGCACTTCTGTGGCCTGCCGGATTATTCACAGGCGCAAAGGAGAATGAAGAACTTTTTTGTCTCCACGGCTGCAGTTGGGGATGCACCAGGAAAGCTTGGGGGCAGAAGACAAGGGCATAGCAAAGTCCAATTCAGAAGCCAATCTCCCCGGCCCTTTCCCTTCCCCTCCCCAAGGACATGGCAAGCTGCACTGAATTGCCACTGCAGATCAAATGTCCAGTCTTCTTTGCCTTCCTCTGTCCCCCCATCCCTAGTTTTGAAAGGGGGGGGAAGAGGAGGGGGGAAAAGGAGGCCATCGTATTTCTAGGGCTGACTGCAGCCCTCAGGGGCTTAAATGGATTTGCACTGTTAGCAGATTTTATGAGTAGCGTTGCCATTAGTGCCAGAATGCATTATTAGCACTTAAAGTGGTGGAACGCTTTGCTTGCGCTGGCTGCGGCAGCCGCAGCTTCAGTCTTGCAGCTCGGAAGAGATTATCACATTCCTGGTGAAGGTAGGAAGGTGACCCCCCCCATCCCACTTTTTTATTCCTCTTGTTTTAGCAAATAAGTATTCACAGTGCTAGGTGCCTCTCCTACTCCATGCCCAGAGAAGTAAGAAGAACCTGGGCAGCCTTGGTTTCTTCCCACTCTCCTCTGCCACTACGACATTAGTGACAGCAGCCTGCACTAGAGAATAAGGATGCCCAGTTTGTGCTCTTGCTGGCAGGCACAGGCGAATCTCAGAAGTGCCATTCAGACCGCCAGTTAAGATCTGCCTCCCAAGTCCTGCTGGCTGGCCCTCGACCCCTGCCTGCAGAGGTAGGGTGGGTGGCAACTACAGACAGGGATTTTTCAGTGGTGGTACCCCTTCTTTGAAATGCCCTCTCTTTTAGACACCAGGCCAAGATTACCCAAGCTTTTAACTAAGGGGTTTTATTCTTCTACAGTGTTTTTTGTTTGCTTGTTCTAATTTTAGGACTGCTTAATTTTTTAAGGCTACTCAAGATTTGTTGTCTGCTGTTTTTATGACCCAGTTTGATTTTAATAATGTTGATAACTTTTGTTGTTGTTTTTATGGTTTTATGGTATTTTTATACTTGTGAGCCACCTTGAGCAGATCTTGGAAGTGGTGGCATATAAATTCTCTACCTTACATAAATTCCATTTCAACACAAACTGTGCCCAGAAAGGAGGTCCCATTCCCGAGCAAGACTAACTGGGCCATCCTGTGGATGCCAGAAGGACGTCTACCTTTAGGGAGTTCAGAGAGCTGATCAAGAAGATCGGCTTGCACCTTCTGAGTGCAAGAATGAAATACACCTTCTGTTTTACTCCAGAAAAGAATTACTCACCCTGCATATC